GCTTCACCGTCCCTGGCTTTAATAAATGCACCCTCAAATTCACCTGGACTGTCATTACAAAATCTTTCCCACTAAAGTCCAGAACCCGCACACTGCCGGCTGGCCCCAGGCAGACCCGCTCAGGGTCAGGTTCCTGTCTGGTGACAATCTCAACAAGTGAGGACAGAGGGAAGAAGAAATGAGAACAGAAACTGGTAAAAAAAAGCAACAACAACAACTGTACCATAGAAAGAACAACAAAGACATAACTTTGTTAAAAACTAATACAATCAATAGCCCCTGCAAACACCAACAAAGAGAAAGGAGAGAAACTACAGGATCAAGAACAAAGGAGGGACATGACTGAAGATCTGGCACTAAAGACACCGAGGAGCGAGGGCCAGAGGACATTATGAACAATTTTATGCCGAGAAATTTGAAAACTTACAGGACACATTCCTAGCAAAACACAACTAACCGAAAATACAACTACCCAAAGCAAACACACACACACACAATAAGGAATCTAGTAAAGACCAGTAATCCATCATTTCAGATTTTCACAGAGAAACACGCCTCGAGCATTTGGCTTCCTCAGAGGATGTCACAGAACAACCAAGGAAGAAATGACCCTGGTCTTCTGCGAACTCTCGAGGCCTTGACAGAGAGAGAGCCTTCCTCACTTCATCCCTGGAGGCCTGAGGGACCTCACTGTCAGAAGCCCGGTGGGAACGTTGGAATGCGGGGGAGGACAGGCCCGGAGCCAGGGCAGCCGAGCGAGGGCCGGCGTGTGTGTGTGTGTGTGTGTGTGTGTGTGTGTGTGTGTGAAGGAGAGCGGCACTCCTACCCAGGCCCGGCCGTGTTCACCTCGGGAACCACGTCTCAGCAGCGCAAGGAGGGTGTGAGGGTCAGGGACCGCGGAAGGGAGTTTGCCGCCTCATTCTCTGAAAGAGAGCATCCTGTCGTCTCAGTACACACGAGAGGAGCACTGGATAAAACTCGAAACCCACTTTTTTCCTCTTTTTTTACAACTTGTGGTCTCTTTTATCTTTCTCTTTTTCCAAAGATTTTACTTATTTATTTTTAGATAGAGGGAAAGGGAAGGAGAAAGAGAGAGAGAAACATCAATGTGTGGTTGCCTCCTGAGTGTCCCCTACAGGAGACCCGGCCCACAACCCAGGCAAGTGCCCTGACTGGGAATCAACCAGTGACCCTTTGGTTTGCAGGCCGCCACCCAATCCACTGAGCCACACCAGCCGGGGCTTTGTTTCTTCAAAATCTATTTTGTATTAAAGATAACAAACCCTTAGAAATGAAGACGAGAAGTGAGTACCTGAGCTCACTGAAGGGCGTCTGCAGAGCTACCCCACAGGGACGCCGGGTCCGATGCGGCAGGGCTGCAGGTCTCTCCTGTCCCTGGAGTGAGACGGCCGTCTGGTACTCACCGCCTCTCTGCGCCATCCTGACGGCCCACGCAGCGGGAGACAAAGACACAGTCGAGGAAGGGAAGGAGATAAAGGGTGAAAACTACAAATTTTTAAAAGAATTTCGTGAGTGTTTAGGTACAAAACCCAGAAGAATCTATAGATAATTATTTAACATTAATGTGGAAATGTCACATGATTACTGGATACAAGTTAATAAAACACATTTAATTTGCCCTGGCTGCTGTGGCTCAGTGAACTGAGTGCCGGCCTGAGAACTGAGAGGTTGCTGGTTTGATTCCCAGTCAGGGCACATGCCTGGGTTACGGGCTAGGTCCCCAATTTGGGGCCTGTGAGAAGCAACCACACATTGATGTTTCTCTCCCTTTCTTTTCTCCTTCCCTTCCCCTCTCTCTAAAAGTGAATAAGTAAAATAGAAAAAAGAAAGAAAAAATACTCCTTTCCCTTTAAGGATGCATATTAGCTTCTTATCAGCCAAGGGGCAGCCTGGAAGGAAATGCACCCTCACCTCCACCCCATCCGACGTGCCTGAACTCTAACTGTCTGGTGCTCGCCTGGAAAGAGATAAGAGTTATCGCAGGGAGAGGAAGATAAGAGTTCTCCTGGTGCTAACAAATGACTTAGTCCAGTTGCTTTCCTGTTTCACAGACGGTTCTTACATGATTCAATTGTTTCAAATGTTTGTGAGCCTTCAGATACATGGCATGTTTTAAAGATGGTTTTTGTGAAAATAAATGACGTTCACAATGGTAACCGCTGATATAAACGGAACAGTGAAATCACTGGATAATTTCTTCAAGGTGCATTGATATGACAAGTGTTTATGGAGTGTCCATTGTGTGCCACTCAGTGCTTTAGATTCTGGGCACACGCCAGGGAGGGGACAAAACAGAAAGACACAGAGGGCACCTTCTTGTGGAGGAGACAGCTAATGGGTCAAAAGATTACATGGGCCCTGGCTGGTGTGGCTCAGTGGATTGAGGCAACCACACACTGATGTTTTCCTCTCTTTCTTCCTCCTTTCCCCTCTCTCTCAAAATAAATAAATAAATAAATAAATAAATAAATCCATCCTTTTTTTAAAAAAGAGGCAATATCATTATAAAAAAAGTTGGGAAATTTTAGTTTTAGGTGATAGTTAATAAGCTTTGTAGTTAATACATGTAAAAAGCTATTGTCTCAGGAACTGAAGGTTTGTGGCCCCTCCAGCCCCAAGCCCACTCCCGGAGACCATGAACAGTTCCACCTTTGAGCCCCAGTAGGGTTGGAAGGCCTTAGGATCATATCTGAGCCACTGTGCTCCAGGGAGAGACGTCCCTCGGCCCAGGACACAGAGAAAGAAAATCACCCAGGACACAGGACGCAGACAAAAAATTCGCCGATCAACAATCAGCAGATGGAAGGATGTTAGGGACATTGCCGACTGCAGCTTTTACCTGATGGACCTCTCCCCTGAATTCTAAGCCCCTCACCTACACTTTTCTCCCCTTGAATTCCAAACCCCTCACCTCGGCTTTTCCCTCCTTCTAAAAAGGCTGACGTGAAGGGAATGCAAGACCGCCTTCTCAGACCGCTGGCCACCTGAACAAAGCGCCCATAAAGATTCAGTCCATCTGTGCTTACTGGGTCTGGTGGGTGACAGGCAGCATGAACGCCGGCTTTGCGGTTCCCTAGTGAGAGCCCGATGTGCTTCCGTGTCCCCGTGAGGCAGAGCGGAGGCGTGCGCTGCCGTGCTGTGTGCCTGGCTGGGTTGCGGTTTGCCTTGGTGTGCGATTGTGTTGCCTGCATGTTCCCATTGGTGTGTGTGTATGTGTGCGTGTGTGAGAGAGAGAGAGAGAGAGACCCAGCGCTGAAGTCCTGTCGAATTCCTCCAGCTTCCCCACGTCAGCACAGCAGGGGGCCCTTGGTTGTCAGTGGCAGGAGTGGGGTGTCTTTCTTCTTTTGAGGCCCCTGGCAGGTTCTCAGCTGGTCCACAAAACACACTTTGAGCTTCTGCCCTGTGTCTGACCACCTGCTGAACATGCTGGGAATGTTGGGGGGCACGAGAGAGCACAGAGGGGACACGGACTCAGCCCGAGGGGACACGGACCCAGCTTGTAATGGTATACAAGAATAATTTTGGGGGGAAAACAGGGAAAGTCATGACTCCCACAGATGTAGAGGTAAACATGTGTTGAAGGTTGGGGTGATGCACACCGACAAATGCCGGAGGTTCCCAGCAAAGCAGCGGACTCGGGGAGAGAGAAGCAGGGAGAAGATCTTCCTCAGCCTCCAGAAGAAACCTTGCTGCCATCTTGGTCGGGAGTTCAGGCCTCTGGAACTGTGATGCCAGTTTCTGTGGTTTAGACCCCTCAGGTTTCACGATCGTGCTGTGTCACGATGGACCCAGCAGCAAATACAAGATGCGACGTAGACAAGACATCGTTTTCCACTGAAGACAAACTTTCCCTACAATATGCTGGAGCTGGTTACTGGAGGGTGAGCATGAATCCAGCAGGAGAGGGTAGCAACAGCACGTGCAAAGGCCCTGAGGCAGGACAGTGGGTGAGGTTCCTGATGAGACAGCTGTGCTTCCATGTGACTGGGGCTGCTGAGAGAAGGGGCAAGAAGGGACCCATGCGACCAGGCAGGGGCAGATGGTGCTAAGGTTTGGGGTTTTGTTCTGAGGGTCCTGGACGCTCAAGGAGACTGTTCCCCTAGACATGGACTGAGTCCAGCCCTCCACTAAATGCTCCAAGTCACAAGCTTATCACGTCTTTCCAAGACCACCAGGATCAGAGGTCACACAGCAACAGGGGTGGAGTGGCACTTGAAACCTGCCTGCCACCTGCCGAGACGTCCGGGTGATGGCAGGTGAGAGGAAGACAGAAACTGGGACAGGAAGGCTTCCCAGCGGAGTCTGTGGTTACTGAGCTGTCCCCACGAGCTAGCTACTGTTCTAGTTCGTCCACCCACGTGAGGCTCACGTCGGCCCCAGAAGAGAAGTACTGTTTCCAGGTTGCTCTCTATCCTTATTCCCGCCGTCCCACCACTGTGCCCCCAGAACTAGGGCTGCAGGTAGGTCCGCTGCACAGTCCCTGAAGGTCCTTACGCCCATCTTCCAAACGGGGAAACTACGGGTCAGAGAGAGGCGCCCGCGCCCCAGCACCTTCCAGGAACCCCACGTTTCCAGGAGCTGGAAGGCAAAGAAAAGAGGGGTTGCTATGGTGATCAGGCGTCACCCGGGTCTTAAAAAGGCAGCTGGGGGCCCTGGCGCGCTCTCTGGAAACCTCGGTGGCATGGGCCAGCCCCCCCAAGCCCCGAATCCTTTCGGACCCGGCCCTCTCGCCCACTCCCGGGCAGGAGAGGGGCCCAAATGCCAACCCCTCTGGGATCACGTGGTTAAACCGCCACCCTCCTCAGCAATTTCCCTTCCATCCAGTCGGGGTGGGTTCTGAGCCCCGCCTCCACTAGGCCGTACCACTCAGGCCCGGAGGGGGGATCTGGAAGGGAGGATCCCGGAGGGGACGCTCAGGACGTCTTCCGGGGACTCCTTCTGTCCTACACTCCCTGACCCACCGCGGGGAGAGGGGAGGTTTGGGCCAGACGCTCAAGGGGGCGGACCGTGGGGCCCCTTGTCCCCGCTGTGGACAATTGTCCTCTCCAATCCCCCCCCAGGCGTTGGTTCGCGCTGTGGGACGCGGAGGCTGGTGCTGGGTGCAAGGCTTTCCCACCCAGACGCAGACCCCGCCAGTCCGGGGCCGCGGTCGGTCGTTGCCTGCTTTCGGGTAGATGCTGCGCTCCGGCGTCATGAGGCTCGCGGTCCGAGTCGTTTATTGGTGAGCAAGACGCCTGAGTCCCCGGCCCGGGCCCAGTGGAGCTGGGCTCCGGGGACTGGGGGCGTCGGGGGCAGGTCCCTGAGGACCCTCCGCGAGAACGGGGCCTCCCGTGGGGGTGGGGTGGGCGCGAGCGGGGCGAAGACCAGAGCGCCTCGACCCCTCTCCAGGTTGGGACCTCCTAGACTCCTCAGGTTACAAAGGTAGACCTGACACGCGGGTGCGGCCATTTGAAACCTCCCCAGCCTAGGGCCCAATTTGGGCGCGGGCGGGGTCCGACGGGTAATGGGAGAGGAGCTTCAGTCAGTGCTTAGCTGTCCCCTCCCCCAGCACCGAGAACAGTCGTGGGGTGTGGTCGGAGAGTTAAGAATGTTCGAGAATATTCGGTGTGGTTTGGAGAGGAATACAATGGATGGACCTCATTACTAACCCTGCACCCAGTTTCCCCATCTGTAGAGGGAGAGCGATCTTAACAGTCCCCACGGAGGGAGCCCTGTGTGTGTAACGGTTTGGTCAGATTCCCGGCAGTGGAAAAGCCGGGGGAGGCCCCGGGCGCGGGGGGCGGGGCATTTTCTCTCGGAGACAAGCCCTCTGCCTTGCCCTGTGGCACGTGGTACAGCGCTGGCGTGCACAGGCAGGCTGGCCTGTGTCTTTCAGCCAATTTGTGTTGTGTGAAATTCCCCTACCAGAAACCTCATGAGGGAGGAGGATCTTAGCTCCATTTTACAGCTGAGGCTGGGAGTGGGGCGGGCAGGGCAGTAGCTGGCGGTCTGGCCTGCAGCTCCCAGTCCAGGTCCGCCCCCCGTCCCGTCTGTGAAATGCCCACCGCGGCAGCCCCAGCTTTTGAGAGCACCATCAGCGCTGCTTCAGCGCCAGAAATGCCCACTCGGCAAGGCCCGAGTGGAACGACCTGTGAAGGCCCTTGCCAGGCCTGAGCCCCAGACTCGGGTCCTGAAATAGCCTGCAGTGGGGGCTGGGGAGGAGTTACATTTCATCCGCGGGCGGGGCAGGGCCTTGGGGATCCCTCAGAGCCTTCCAAGCCCGGGCGGGAAGGTAGGGGTGCAGACTGGGCACGTGGGGGGGGGGGTGTTGTTTCTGCCAGTCCCATCCTAACTCTGCCCTCTTCCATTCCCTCCCTCCTTCCTCCTCCCTGTGGTTGTCTCGTCACACCCTTTTCCCTGAACCCCTCTTTCTGTCCTTGGCTCCCCTGCTGTGTGCCGTTTCTGTGTGTGGATATCTGCCTCCTTTCTGTATCCCTGTCCCCCCATCTCTGTCCACTCCCCAACAATCTCTGTGTGTCTTTCCTCTCGGTTGAGGGTGTCTGCCCCCTGCTTGGTTTCATCCATGCCCCTCTTCACTTCTTCCTGGTCCTGCCCCTGTTTCCCTCCATTTCCCGCTGTCCACTCCCTCCCACCCCTCTCCCCCACCTCCCTCTCCGGGGTTTCCCACCGTCTCCCTCCGCCCCTGGACTTCACTCTCCTGGACTCTCTCCCACCAGTGGTGCTTGAGGCTACAAGCCCAAGGTAAGCGTAGTGGCCAGCCAGGCATCCAGGGAAGATGGGGGGAGGGCTAGCTGGCTTGGCCTCTGGTGACCTCTGTCGTGACCCTCCCTTACAGTATCTTCAGCTCAAGAAGAAGTTGGAAGATGAGTTCCCCGGGTGCCTGGACATCGTGAGTCTTGGGGATGGAGGGAAGGGCTCTAACTTGGGTCCCACCACCTGTCCAGCAGCGAGGGGCAGCCTGACCCTTCGCCCTGGCCCTCCCTTTCCTAGGAGGGGGCGTGTCTCCAGGAGAGCACCCCAGCCCTTGCAGCATCTCTGTCTCCCCCCCTGCAGTGTGGCGAGGGGACTCCCCAGGTTACCGGGTTCTTCGAAGTAACAGTGGCAGGGAAGTTGGTTCACTCCAAGAAGGTCTGTCTGTCTGTCTGTCCTGCCTCATTTTCGGACTGTTGAGGGCTGGGGGTGGGCTTGGTGTCTTGGACCCGGCTCACCACTTCCATCTTTTGTCCCCAGAGAGGCGATGGCTACGTGGACACAGAGAGCAAGTTTCTGAAGCTGGTGGCCGCCATCAAAGCCGCCTTGGCTCAGGGCTAATGGGCCCTAAAGGCAGAGGTGAGGGGGCTGGCTCCTGGACCCTGGAGCAGATTCCTTGTTCCCAGCGTACTCCAAACCTAAGCACTGGTTTCCAGCCCGGTGCACCCCAGAGCCGGCAGCCATTCCCGCCCTGTTCTTTCGGTCACAGAGCTGTGTGTCAGCACCTTCCGAGCCTGGTCCCCAGCTTGCCAGCCAATATGTCCCAGATGAGCCCCAAACCCCACCTACCCTGGAGCTAGGCACCGGTTACTAGCCAAGTCCGAACCGAATTCTGGCTCCAGACTCTGGAGAACCTAGAAGTGCTTTCTACTACCCTCCAAACCTGAGTGCTAGGCCCCCCTGCCCTGGCCCTCCGTGTTTAGAACTGAGTATCCTATCCCAGAATACTGCGGACCCCGGCACCTACCCCCAGCTTGCTGGTTCTTAGATGCTTTCAGCGCTGGTCCCATGTCTTAGGGTGCTTTGCTAGGACCGAGTGAGGTCACGTTCAATGTGAATTTGGACCTGCAGGAGTCACTCAGCGCAGTGTAACAGTGCAACAGTGCAAATGCCGTGTCTTGAGTGTGGGTCAGAAATGAAGAGAGCCCCCCCACCACCGATTTAAAAAACATGAAGCGTCGCGTGATTTCAGAGCTGCGTGAGCTGCGTGCAGGGCGCTGGTGCTCTGAGGAGAGTGGGACGGGGTGCCCTCCGAGTGGGGCCTGACTACTTCACCCCTCAAACGGAGCCCGCCCCGTGCAAGCTTATGCCACACGCCACCTCCCAGCTGTCAGTAACTCAGGCGCTCCCTTAAATCTGCATGGGGTTCACCCTAATTCCAGAGAGGTCCATCAGTGGGTGATTTTGGCCCACAGAAGTGAAAATGGCATTGACTCAAGAAGGGGAGAGGGAGAGAGTGGTTCTCATTTGCATGGTTTGTGAGAGCAGTTTTGGGGTCTCCAACGGCAGCCTCGGGGTCGGCGATCTGCTAGGACTCACAGAACCGGGCAAAGCAGTTACACCTGGTTACGCTTCCTCACAGGGAAGCAGTGGAGATTAGAGTCGGTGTAGGGAAGAGGCAGTGGGCAGCGTCCAGTCGTGCGGACACTCACTTAGCCCCCACCCCCGTCGGTGGTGTGTGACAGCAGACACGGGGTGTCGCTGGCCAGGGAAGGTCACCTGAGCCTTGGTGTCCTGGGTGTTTCTGGGATGTCAGGCATGTGGACATAGCTGACTGCCTGCATGGCCAACCTCAGTTCCAGCCCCTCCAGAGGTCAAGAGCTGCTGCCTTCCGGCCAAGGCACCCCGTGTCAGTCACCTGGTTAGTGCGGGGGGGGCCAGTGTGGCTCCAGACAGACCAAGGCACTCTGACCAGGCAGGGCACTCCAAGGTCACTCCCAGTTAGCCTGTCTCTGGGCAAGGTTAGCCCCACGGAGTCCTCGGGTGACTAGAGGTCTGACGGGGGGTGGCCTGGGTGGGGGGAGGGTGGGAGGAACCAGATGGGGTTGTGATGGCTTCTCCGGAATCAGACCCTGGGCAGACTGTGGAGGGCTGTGTGTTGGGCTTTCTGTAAGTCGGCCAGGGCCACCCCCTTCCACACAGCCCCCCCCCTTCCTCATCGGAGTTGCTCAGGGCAAGCTCAAATGAGGACTGAGTCTGGGCCTGCCTTGCCTCGTTGGGTTACAGTTTTCGTCATGGTCGTGCACTTTCCTTGTGCTTCATTTTCTCCCCGAGGGGCTGTGTCCTGCATCTCCCTCTTACCATTCTTCCCTCAGTATTGGCCCAGCCCGGCCTCTCTCCCTGCAAGCTGACCCTCCACCCTCCCTTCTTCTTCTCTCTGCACAGTTCCGTGACCTGGGCCCCGCCCCTTTCGGCAGACGCTTCATGACGGGACGGACTGAAATGTCTTGTGGACGCAGGTCTTTCCCCGATGTTCTGTGGCCGCCGGGCGGGGCAGAGATGGACGCCCCTGGTCTTTGCCTGTGTGCGTGCGTGCACGAGTGTGTCCCCCAAGAATCTAGCTGTTCATACCGGCCCTCCTCCTCCCCAGTCCTCCCCCCCGCCGCCTCCCCTTCATCCTCTCCCTGTCTCCCTGCTGGTGTTTCTGCTCTGAGCTTCGTTCTCAAGGCGGAGCCTAGAAAGGGATCCCGATGCGTGAGGCTCAGGTTTCAGCCCTGTTTGCAACGGTTCACAATTCAATAAATGTTGGATGAGTTTAACAAACCCTGCCTGTGTCTGCGTGGGTTCCACCTCTGCTCCGGGAACGTGGCCCCAGCGCCGAGTGCCCTGGCGCCTGGCTAATGGACAGGCACTTTGGTCCCATGGTTGGAAACACGCAGCCGTGACAGAAAGGTAAAGGAGACTCTGAATCCCAGATCAGGGTTGGTTTGGGAGGGCTGCTGACACCGCAAGGCGACCAGGCGGCTCAAACCACCGACATTTCCTCTGTCAGTGCTCTGAAGGCTGGGAGGCTGAGACCAAGGTGGGGGCGGGCATCTGGTTGGCCTTCTTCCGAGGCCACTACCTGTCACACCTCTGTGTACTCACGTGATCTCTGCACATGTGTCCTGGTACCCCGTGTGTGTCCAAATGTCCTCTTACAAGACACCAGTCGGTTTGGAATAACCCACTTTAATGGCCTCATTTTTTAAAGAAGATTTTTAGAGAGGTGGGAGGGAGGGAAAAAGAAACATTGATAATGAGAGACTGATTGGTTGCCCCTCTTACGAGCCCTGATGGGGATTGAACCTACAATCTGCATATGTACCCTGACTAGGAATCGAATCCATGACCCTTCAGTTTATGGGACGATCCTCCAACCAGCTGAGCCACCTGACCAGGACCAAACTGTCACTTCTGAGTTCTTGGCAGTCGGCCTTGTGGGGAAGGGGCTTTGTCCCATAATAAGACTGTTTCCAGGGAGAACGCGGTTGGGGGTGTCCCTCTGCCTCCAGCTGGGCTGGTGGTTCCACCAACAATGTAGAGAAAGGGTGTGGGGGGAATCTCCAGGGTAGAGAAAGGACATGCCCCAGAGGTCCCTGGACCTCTGAGCACCTTGTCTGCCAAGCCCTCTAGGGGCCACTGGGTTTGGTCCCAGTGTTCTCACACTGAGAAACCACGACATAGCACTTTCCAAGTGTTTGCCTGTACCACCTCTAGCCTTCCACCTGCTGTGTGAGCAAATCACCCGACTGACCCCAAAGTCAAGGGGACTCTGATCCTGGAAGAGGCTTTAGGCCTCGCTGGCCAAAGGAGGTGTGGGGTGGGTTTGATGAGCCCCTTCTAGCAAGATCAAGGAGTGTCGTCCACTGACGAAGCTGAAGGAAGACCTGAGTTATCGGCTGTCACATCATGTCACACTGTTTTAGGTCAGCTGCCAGGGTCAGTCACGCCGAGGGCAGGGTGCTTGGGGGCCCCCATCACTGCGTCGGAGTCATCGAGTGCACCACCGGCTTCTGTATCAACCTTCCAGACTTGAAGCCTCCCAGGCCCACTTGTTAATGTTCTGTGTGGCCAGGACGCAAGCTGGCGTCTGGCCACTTCTGTCCTGCTCCTGTTCAAACAGACTGCAGACCTTAGCCGGTGCATCATTTTAGGATTCCGTTTGGATATTTCACCACCCCAGCTGATGCTGGGTGATGTGGCCGTGCAGGTGTGATCCACGTAATAAAGGGTAGGTCCTGGAGGCTGTTATTAGTAAGTGAGGGTATTTCAACATTAGGAATAGATCTTTCAGATGTCCTTTCCCTGAGGACTATTTATATCTTACGGGTTTCTACCTATCCTGAAAAAGTCCATTCAAATTACTGAAATACATAAACACATTTTAAAAAATTTATTTCTTTATTTTTAGAGAGGGGATGGAGGGAGAAAGAGAGGGAGAGAAACATTACTGTGTAAGAGATACATCCATCAGCTGCTTCTTGCACGTCCCTAAGTGGGGACCTGGCCCGCAGCCCTTTTTGTATAAAATCCTGCGTTCAAAAAGGGGAGGAGCCCTGACCAGTACGGCTGGGCATCCTTCTGCAAAGCAACGAATCACTGGTCAGTTGGGTCACATACCTGGGTTGTGGGTTCGGTCCCGATCAGGGCACGTACAGGGGGCAACTACAGTAATCAATATTTCTCTCCCTCCCTTTCCCTCTCTTTAAATGTGAATAAAGAAAATCTATTTTTGAATAAAGGAGAGAGGAGAGTCCTAGAAATATCTACCACCGTTTTTAATTTTAATCTTATCCACGGAGGAGAACGAGAAAGTGCCACGATCTTATTTTCACTTAATTCACACCTTCAAGCCAAGGGAGGTCAGCTAGAGTCTCGGTGAACTAGGTGACACACTGAATTTTTTTCCAACTGCGTCACCACGTGGCTAACTTGTGAATTGCACCCTCCCGGATCCCCTTGTATCCTTCACCGGGAAGCCGTGGGTGGTGGGGGTGGGGGTGGGGGTTCCCAGGGCAACTCCATGGGATCACTTCTGGTCATTCAGACTTAGCATAGTCAAGTGAGCCACCATCTTTGGCTTGGTGACACGACGCTATTCAAAAGATTAAGGATGAGGGAAAAAATACATTCTCTCTTCAAATTCTTTCACTTCTCGCTGTCTGGGGGACCTCAGAGAAGTGACCTCACCTCTCCGGGTGAAGGTTTGGTGGCGGGAGGAAGCAAGGAAATGAATGAGGGCGGGGGATCAAGGCAACCCCACGCTGGGGTCGGGCATGGCCAGGGTCAAGGGCAAAATGGGAGATTTTGCCCTCAGTGCCTTTGGCAACCCTCGCTTTTCTGGGAGAACCTCTGCAGCCAAGATACCCTTCCTGAACTTTAACCGCCACACGAGGGCGAGGAACCGGCCTGCTCTGCAGCGATCCTTCGTTACCGGAGTTCTGTTCAGCCAGTTTCCCGATGATTCTCCAGGGTGACTGTTCCCTAATTGCGCTGTAATTTAATGTGGCTGTGGGAGGAGTCAAGCACAGTGTTTCCGCTCCTGCGCTGAGTGCCTTCGTAGGGTCAAGGTGTCTTCCCTCCTTGTCGCAGAAAATGGCTTTTGAGGCTTCTTCTCCTCACACCCCCATCCAGGGGAGACACTGAACTCTGCGCTCCCCTTCGGCCACCCTCTCCACCACACAACTTCGTGCCGCCTGCTGACAGGCAGCTCCTCCTACTTTTCTGAAATTAAATTTTTGAAATTATTTATGTATTTATTTTTCATCGTTCTTAGGGTTTGTATTGCAGAATTGCAGATTTTTAAAAGTATATTTTATTGATTATGCTATTACAGCTGCCCCATTCTTTTCTCCCCTTTATTCCCCTCCTCCCTGTACCTGCTCCCACCTATATCCCTCCCCCCTTTAGTTCATGTCCATGTTCATGTACACGTAAGTTCTTTGGCTTCTCCATTCCCCATACTCTTCTTACCCTCCCCCTGTCTACTTTGTACCTACCATCTATGCTTCTTATGCCCTGTACCTTTCCCGCTATTCTCCCTGCTCCCCCAACACGCTGATAACCCTCCATATGATCTCCATTTCTGTGATTCTGTTCCTGTTCTAATTTTTTAGTTTTTTTTTTTTTTAGGTTCAGTTGTTGATAGTTTCCTGTGAGTCTGTTGCCATTTTACTGTTTCTATTTTTGATCTTCTTCTTTTTCTTAGACAAGCTCCTTTAACATTTCATATAATAAAAGCTTGGTGATGATGAACATCTTTAACTTGACCTTGTTTGGGAAGAACTTGAATTGCCCTTCCATTCTAAATGAAAGTTTTGCTGGATAGAGTCATCTTGGAAGTAGGTCCTTGCCTTTCATGACTTGGAATACTTCTTTCCAGCCCCTTCTTGCCTGCAAAGTTTCTTTTGAGAAATCAGCTGGTAGCCTTATGGGAACTTCTTTGTAGGTAATTGTCTCTTTTTCTCTTGCTAATTTTAAGATTCACTTCCTACTTTAATCTTGAGTAATGTAATTATGATGTGCCTTGGTGTGTTTTTCCTTGGATCCAGCGTCTTTGGGACACTGAGCTTCCTGGACTTTCTGGAAGTCTATTTCCTTCACCAGATTGGGGAAGTTCTCCTTCATTTCAATTTCTTGCTCTTCCTCTTGTTTTTCTGGCACCCCTATGATTTGGATGTTGGAACGTTTGAAGTTGGTCCGGAGGTTCCTAAGCCTCTCCTCATTTTTTTGAATTCTTGTTTCTTCATTCTGTTTTGATTGAATGTTTGTTTCTTCCTTCTGTTCCAAATTGTTGATTTGAGTCCCAGTTTCTTTCCCTTTGCTGTTAGTTCCTGTATATTTTTCTTTATTTTACTTTTCATAGCCTACACTTTTTCCTCTATTTGTGATCATACTCAACTGCTGGAGTCCAGCTCCAGCAGGTCCAGGGATTCCCAGTGGATGGATGGCGTCGGTGAAGGAATGACACGAGAGGTGCAGTTTCAAGCTCAGCGGCCAGGCATCTCTGCCTGGGCTCTTGAGTTTTTTATTTTTATACAGTTGGGTATGTACATGTGGCATATGTGAAAGCAATGAAAAAAATGAGGTTTTTAAGGCATATTTGCTTTATCCTTATTCTGCAGAAAATAGGAAGCAGCTCTCTATTGCATATTATTGTGCAAGCTTTTAGCTCCTAATCTTTGCAATTAATCAGTAACACATTTTACCACATTATATAACATCTTAATTTCTTAAAGTTTAACTTAAGTTTAATCTATATATTCTAAAGTTGAAAGCTGGGCATGTAGCTGGGCATGGGACTGTTTCAGCTCACTGGCAAAGGCCATGCAGAAGGCTTTCATAGTCAGTGCGGTTAGTATCTGTCTCTCACTTCTCACTTCAGCGCCAGAACCCTGTCATCTTGTGCAAGTAATAATCTTTGTTTTGCTCAGTCCATTCGGCCGCCTGCCATCTACCTTGGTGTTGGTGTATTTTTATTATTAGTTTCTATCTTTGATGTCTCACTTTTTAGGCAATAAATACCATGGGGGTCCTAATTGCTTAAGCATTTCATAGAAGGGGAGTATATAATAATCTTTCCAATACATACTTATATTTACCCATCATGTCCCTTTATGATAGATTCTGGTACAGGGTAAAGGGGGATCAGTGGGCCTAGGAGTTAGAGGAGGAACAGACCATGGATACTGGTACTATGCTGACCAAATGTGTTTTTTGAATCTATGTCTAGCTCCCAGACCCCTGGTTTCAAGGAATTGTGTAATAAGGGTGGGTGTAGG